CTGCCCAGCCTCACCTGCTGGCCCCACAGTCCATAAGCACTTCTTTCACTAGGACGGCTCCACCTCCCACCTCACGTGGGAGAGCCACAGCCACCAGCAGTGCTGCCGCCATCTCCCCCTCCCCTCATCTCCTCCTGGAGGGAGGGAGAGAGGAAATATGGGAATGAGAAGGAGGGAGGCAGGAAGGAGGTAAAGAGGTAGGAAGGAAGATAAGGAAGGAACGAAAGAAGGAAGGAAGGATGGGTGGGTGGGTGGATTGGTGAAAGGAAGGAAGAAGATGAAATAAAGGAAGGAAGGAAGGAGTTTGGAATGAGGGTCAGCCCCACTGCCTTCACCACCCACTTCCCCCTCCTCCTGGCCACACTTGGTAGTCTCCAGCCTATCACTGAGGATGCTTTGCTTACAAAGCCAGGTCTCCTTGCATGGAGAGGGACCCATGCGGTTTGCCATCCCACATCAGCTATGAGCAACCCGGCCAAGGAGAGCAAGCATAGCAGCAGCCTCGAGGAGGAGGTAAGTGTGGCCTGGTGACCCCTCAGGGAAGTTGGGCTGGGCTGGGCTGGGCTCAGTGGTGGGGATTCAGCCAGTTTGCACCACTTCAGGAGAACCGGTTGTTAAATTATTTGAATCCCACCATTTGCTGGGCTGCTGGATCCTGGTGCCTTGGGAACTTGAGGGCTGGGCTGGGCACTTGCCCTCCGCTGCCCAGCTAGAGATGAGGTGCCGGAGAATCAGAATCAGAGAGACAGACAGACAGACAGAGAGACAAGAGACACACAGAGAGAAAGAGAGAGTCATACAGGGAGAGAGACAGAGAGAGAGACACAGAAAGAGAGAAACTACAAAATGAATTGTATTTGCATAAACAAAGGAAAATATATAAAAGTATATGGAAATCAATGTTACACAGGAATATGTAAATACAGCTGCCACATATAAGTGCTTCATTTTCCTAAAATGAGGCCAATGAATTGTTTCTGTAAATCTTGGCATTATTTGTCTGCATAGTTTTTCCTGTTTTTTTATGTGGAACAATTCAATTCTCCTTGGTTACTATCTTTTTATACATTAGGTCCTGTCACTGAAGTCAAAACAGATATCTATGTCACAAGTTTTGGACCTGTTTCTGATGTAGAAATGGTAAGTATGAATATGAGTATTATGATAGGTTTGAGGAAGAAAAAAATTAAACCTAGTACTAAGTGTGTGACTAAATGAAGGGTTTTGGGACTCACCTGTTATTCATGCAAAAAAGAACAGATTACCAGAAACTTATTTTCAGGGTTTTTTTTTACATATGGCTATCACAGCTTCTGTTCTGGTCTTTCCATATTTTAAAAAAGGAAAAAACCTCAATAAATTGTCTTGGTAAAGATAGGGGCTTGACTGAAGCCAATCAAGATATGATGAATACTGCAATCTGTATAATCAAGTGAAATCATCCCATTTGCCTGGGAGGAAAGGCAAGAAATAGCCTGATCCTGTGTACCAGTTCCTTGATATTTAGTTCAGAAATACCACTGAAATTTCTAGTTATACCAGGCATTACTTATATACTGTCTGTGTAAGCAATTTTCTTGCAATAGCAGTTTTAAAAGAATAATAAAGGAAGAGCTGAATTTTTTAGAAATTGCATTCTACCCTATGCATTTTAATTCAGTTTTGACACTTGTAAAACATTGCAATAGTTGTGTAACCATCCCCAGATAGAGATAGAAATGGTGCCCAGAATTATAAGATCGAACCCCCTCTCCTGACAGATTTTAAGAAAGGGGAAGGCCTTGATCAGGCCACCATCTTGATTTTTAAAGACTTTTTGTGAATGTCTTAATGCAGGAGTCTTCCCTAGTGAGCAGTATACCTAGATGTTGAGGGCCCAGTTAAAACGATTCTGCAAGATTTACAAACTTCCATATGTATCTTATATATAAATGGTGGTGAAGTTAGAAGATTTACTATTTTGTGGGAAATATTCACTTTTTGTTTACCCCTATGATGTTTTTACTGATTGCAATTCAATAACATTTCTTTCATTTGTTTGCTATAAGCATACAATATATTCCTAGTTCAAATTTTAATCATTTGTAAAAAACAAAACAAAATAGCATGGACATAAAATCAATAACATATGTTAGTGAATTTATCATTTCGCTCCAATTCTGAACAAGTTTAATTACATGCTTCTTGCCATTCTATTAGATTACAGTAATTATTTTGATTTAGTATGTTTAATAATTTATTTATATAACTAATGTGGAAAATTAAAGTATTAAGATGTACATAGTTCTATTGAATTGATAGAAATGTGTTTAGAAATTTTGTAGTTTCCTATCACTGATTTATTATTGGGAAAATGTATAACATTGTTTAATTTGCTTCCCAATTATTATAGGAATATACAATGGATGTTTTCTTTCGTCAGACATGGGTTGACAAGAGATTAAAATATGATAGTCCCATTGAAATTCTAAGATTAAACAACTTGATGGTTAACAAAGTGTGGACCCCAGATACTTTCTTTCGGAATGGAAAAAAATCTGTGTCTCATAACATGACAGCCCCAAATAAACTATTTAGAATTATGAGAAATGGCACCATTCTATATACAATGAGGTACCTGCTTTATATATTCTGTACATTTACATGATTTAATAATTGCTGATGTACTATCCTATGTCAGGACTAATTTTACATGGTTCCTATAGGCTCACCATAAGTGCTGAATGTCCCATGAGACTGGTGGATTTCCCAATGGATGGACATGCCTGTCCGCTAAAATTTGGAAGCTGTAAGTCCCCATTTTGACATTTTACTTATGGTACTAAAGCTCAATTTTTGTTCTTGTTGTAAGAAACAGGTCAGTGAATAGCCACAGGCTTGTATCTTTGTCAAAAAAGAAAGCTGGTGCCCCTGAAAGCAACAGGAATGCTTTCACTGGGTTTTAAGATAAGTTCTTAAGACAAATATTTTGTCCATTATTTTTTTTCTAAATACATCTTGTTCAGATGCATATCCAAAGAGCGAAATGATCTACACCTGGACAAAAGGGCCAAAAAATTCAGTGGAAGTCCCTGAAGAGTCTTCTAGTTTAGTTCAATATGACCTACTTGGACATACAGCATCTACTGACACAATTAAATCTATCACAGGTAAGATTCTTCCATTTCAGGTTTAGATAAATTTGCTTGCTCTTTGCTGGGTAATTCTTTAGGAGACAAAGTGAAAATGGTTGAAAAGGCAATTAAAAACATGGGAGTTTGCAGCAAGTGACATGTTTCATAGCTACATGTTTTTCAATGCTAATCCTTAATTGTGACAGCGTACAATAAAAACTTGCAGATAGTCCAAATAAATTCATATTAAAAAGCTGCTAGAGCAAATGTATCAAGTGTAACAATTATTACTGTTTGTGATGATTTTTAAAGTCATGTTTGAATATAGCAATAGGCAGAACAGCAAGAGAAGTGACAACATTGATGGTCTGTGGGTGACAATTTTAAACATTAATTTTGTTGTTTATGTTATATGAAGATTTTAATCCTGTAGTGTAACTCAGGACAGAATCAGATAGTGGAGGGAGAAGATGTAGCTGACATATTTTTGAATGGCATTATTGATAGCAAGAGGGAAAAATATTTTCATAATGAAGTGGAAATTATCAGTCAGTGAGACACTATTGATCCCTTATGGACTCATTCAGAAAGACTTTATACAAAGAAGTTATCAAGGGGTAACAATCAAATCTTCACACATTTTCTATTCAGTATTTGAGGCTTTTTAAAAGCAATCTTCTAACACAGTGCCTTTAAATTTGCATCCTATTAAATTAAGTTTCAATAGCAGCCAATATTGGACTAATTATTTCATGCAAGAAATGTTAACTATGTAGAAGTAAATTAATTTTTTCATTGATGTACCTTGATAAGAATTGAGTAAATTGCATCCTATTCTATCAATTTGTGATCATCAAAGGCTCTCTGAAGGTTCAATAAACTTTTTTCCATTGCTGTCAAAGGCGGCATTATTTTGCTTTGTTTCTTCCATGTTTCTTTGGAAGAGCTTATGAATTAATATAAATATGAGATAAACTTAAGAAAACTTATTTATCAACATACTTTTGAAATTCATTTTATTTTTCTATGATATATTTAATTACTTCTTAATTACCTCCCTATAATGGGGGTGAGAGATCATTCTACTTTTTAAAAAAATATAACTTACCTTGATTGATTCATTTATTCTCTGTTGTGAAAAAATATCATTTGTCATTTGGAACACTGAACCTGAAAAACAAGTTGCCTAAAAGAAAATACTTGTTTGAGGAGATACAAGTATCACCCAGACATTTGATAGCATCCTTTCATCAATTTGTATATTTTTCCTACAAGTTTTTCTTGCTTTCTTGCTGTATGTATGTATGTATGTATGTATGTATGTATGTATGTATGTATGTATGTATGTAATGTATGTAACATAATACCAGGATATAACAAAAGATCAAGAGAATCTTCTGCACTGTGTCCTGGTACAATCCAGTTTCAGCAATAGATGCTCTAGGTGTGTGCAGAATCTGTGCAAATTTCACAGGAGGCCCCCTAACTCTATCAATGGCCTTGTCAATACTTCCTTGACAGCAATAGCAAAATATTATTATTATTATTATTATTATTATTATTATTATTATTATTATTATTGCCAACTAATTAAATGCAACGAAAATGAAGCCTACAAATACTTAGGCATTCTGCAGTTGGATAATAT